TGATTTTTATTATTAAAATTTTGACACTTTATTGTTCAAAATTTTAATAATAAAAATCAATTATTTAATTGTGTTTGAAAATGAAATAACTAATGTATGTTAAATTAAGTTTTATAGGATTCAGTAATTTATTTTGAAAAAATAAAAACAATTGAATGTTATAATGTTAGATCTCAGTCGTAAGAACCAGTTGAAAACTTACCTTTTGACTTTTAGAAAGTAAAGAGTACATATGAAGTGAAAAAAATTTTAGACAAATATAACACTCTAATACTGATACAATTTCACTATAATTTTTTTGTAGTATCCACATTTGTTTTTAATGATATCTTGGAAAAACCTTTTCTAGTTTTGGGATTATTTTTGAGTTACTCTTTCAAGTATACATAGATTTCAGAGAACTAGCAAGAAACCAGTTATGTGATAATTGTTAGGTTTATTTATATGTCATCGGTCTCTGAAATCATAATTTTAACTATGTAAGGGTCAAACAAATTGCATAACTGTAATTCGTTAGTTGCCAATGCTTTTTATTTACTGCCGTCTAGTCAATGAGTCGCTGTCAACGCAAAACAGTTGGTTTGTAACTATTCGTTAATGCAAAATTTAAAAAAAACTAATTTTCTAGAAGAGTGATACGAATGCTTATTGAAATTGAGGAACTGTCTCACAACTTCGACAATATCAGAACTTTGAATTTATAGAAATCAAGAAGAAATAAAGTGAGTCACTCATATGTAATCAGAACTTCAGAATTGATAGATGAAAACTTACCACTCCAATCAACTGTATTATCCCCGTAATTGTCGTCGGAAACTTTCCTCCTTCTAATTTATCTCTAACAAGTTCATCGTAGGTGTTTGTCACTGCAGATATGTTATTGAGAAATAAATGAGATTTTCTGCGTCCAATAGCTTGTTCAGCCATTTTGGGAATCGTTTTTCAAGAACTTCACATGAATATAGAGACCAATCACGAAAAAAGATTTTCAAGATTAAAGTAAATACAGCAGTATCTTATCTACATGATTTATCAAGGATTCTACTAACTGAACAGAAATCAATATAATGAGATGATTAGAATTATCAATAAAACGGCTTGTTTCAATAAATTAATATATATATTTTTATAGTTGGAATGTATAAGTATCAATTGTATTTGTTGTAAGTGAAATAGAACTATATAATCGGTACTTTTATATATCTGGAAGGTTAATGTCCCTTTCTAAAGATGAAATCTCTTTGGTTCGTTGTGTTCTTTTATATTCTTTGTGTTTCTCTTGGACCTGAATGAAATGTTTCAGAAGCTGTTGAAAATCTATTAGTGAATTTTCATATTCAGATTTCTTTCCCACGGTTTTACTGTAACAATATAAAATTATTAAATACAAATAAACCACGTAGAATAACTACATATTGGACTTTAAACTTTCATTACACAATGAAAAAGATCTCATAAGAATTTGATTATACTATATTATGTTCATTATTCAGAAAAATAGAGAACTGCAGTTTGTTCAACAATAATTTTACAAAACTTGACACAACTGGAAATGTTGACTATCATAGATGGAGAATGAAATGAAAAAAAAAATTGCTCACATCTTTTCAGTTGATTGCTACACTTCATCAAAATCACTGGGTACATTTTTTATATGAGGTAATAAATAACTTTATTTGTAGAATTACAAAGTGGTCACATGTATATGATATTCAGTCTCATAACAAAATATCAGAATATTTGTATTTACAAGTATTTCAGTAGATAACAAATTTTTGGGACCATCAGTTTAATTGTGAACGTTGGTTCGGTCCCAACTGTAGGACGATCGATGTTCACTATATATAGTTCGACTTCGACTCTTGCTAGGAATCACACGTTAAAAGGTGATACCTCATTAATCCGTAACCTACACGTTTCAAGTTGAGGGTTGTCGTTCGTAAGGGAGCAATAGCTGGTTAACGAATGAACACAAATATATGATATAATACAGAGAAAAATATTTCTATTTTTCTTCCAAATAAAAAATAAATTAATTTTTACTTACTTGTCATCACAGTAAATATGCAAGCTTGGAATACATCCTAATCTTGTTTTGAGTGTGGTGAACGCTTCTGTTTGGGGCAATAACATTAACAAACCATACAGAGCTCTTATTAAGTTTTTATCACAAGGTACTTCCAATAAATCTAACCTCAGATCTGAAAAAGTTTTTTGATAAATTGAATTCTTGTAGTCACAAGATTATATGGCATATCAGGTGATGAAAAATGATTGTATTTCAATTGTTTATGACGTTAGTAATTTGTTAAGTTCACTGTGTCCAATGTTTTAACGATAAAATAATTGCATACTACTTAAGCCAGAATCCTTTACATTTTTCTAGAAATTCAGATGAAAGTCAGATAAAACTTTCTGAAATGACATTTTTCATTTCGTTTTTCTGGAAAATAATAGAAGTGATATTTTTCAAATTTGAATTTTAAGTATATTTTTTTCAACAGGAAATGCCAAAAATATCATGATTTCATTCAAAATGAATAATGATATGGCCGTTATGTACGCCACTGAAACAGAAGTCAAATAACATATTATCACTTCGAACGTATCTTTTGACAAAACTAGCCATATTCAGTTCGGAACTGCACAATTATTTCATTGTCACGGAATTCAAAAACTATGCCACAGAATACAAATATACTAAAAAAAGTACTTACATGCAAAAACAGGAGATTCAATAAGTTGTACTAATTTGTCTATTTCCATTAAAAAATCTACTGTAACCTCCAAGTTACCACTGTATAAATGATAAGGAAAATTATCACCCAAGTATAACAAAAATATAAGTGAATAGATTTCATTACAGTAGGATTAATTGTCAGGTACTAAATAATGAAAGTATAATACAATTGTTTATGTATTTGAATATTTTTAGGTATCTCACATTCAAAAAAAAATTATCAGCATTCATATCAAGAATTCATTTAAAAATTTCGAATATAGAGAGTATCCTACCCATGCATATTTCTCAACAACTACAAAAAAATCGAAAATTATTTTTGTTATAGTTAATGAATACCCCCAAGTTTTTTATTCAAAAGGTGTCTATTTATAAATTATAGAAATGCATGTGAAAATGGTTAAATTTTAATTCAGTTGGCTTTAAAAATGTAGTGGTAGAGGTATGTATGAGTATTTAAGTGAGGTATGTAGCCGAAGGCTACCTGTAGCCAAAGGCTACATATCTCACTTAAATTAGTGACAAGTTATTTTTAAGAGAAGAGTATCTCTGTTAAATTCCTAGTCAGTAAATCGGAGTCGTTACATTAATCGTATTTAAAGTAATGACAGTTAGCAAAATTAAGTACTTTGTGACACTGTTAATCAATGATTATCATAAAATAGAACTTTTAATTTATATCTTGGTTCTTTAATTAATGAACTTTTCAAAGACGATGTACAAGAAATAAAAGATTCGAGAGGAATGCAAATATAATCAAAAGAAAGAAATGATAATTTCAATAGTTTGGTTGATGCAGAGTTGTTCAGGTTTTATTTCCCAAAAAATAATGTGAAACTGCCATTATTGCCTGTTTTAGAAACTCAACATCTTTATGAAAAAAATGCAACCTCTTATTTTCTCTTCCATATTCGACTATGAAACTGTGCACTGAGCTGTTACAGATCAGCGAACTGGTGAGTCAAATCAAACACGAAGAAAACTGCGGTGATCAGACTCATGAGTATTGAATTAATTTGGGTGAAAACTTGTCTGTCCAGTTGAAAACATTAACTTTCAATTAAGCAGTGAAATACTGAAATCGACTTTATTCACCTAAAAAAAAAATGTTGATGCAGAGAACAATTTATAACATAGATAGGATGAGCAATGACATTATACACTTATGATGCACTGTTTGGAACCTTTGGTGTAATAAAGAATATTACTGGACTTTTTTCCCAACACCCAACGTTATTTTTAACACCTCGACACGTATTTCGATTACCAAGTGATTACTTTCAAGAGGAAGATTAAACTGTATAATCTTCCTCTTGAAGATGATCACTTGGTGATCGAAACACGTGTTGAGGTGTCAAAAATAACGATTCGGTGTTGGAAAAACTCCAGTATTAATAATGAAATTATATGATCATCATCATAAATCACTGTTAAAACTATTTGGATTGGATTGAAAAGCAGTCCTAAATGTTAAAATGAATAAAACTATAATTGAATCTCAGGGCACATCTGCAATATCATCACATTTTTTGAAGGAATACTTTAACAACTTTCATTTGAATAATAATCGGTGTAACTAGTAGTAAAAAAGTATGTGCAATATTAATTCATTCCTTAAATGAATACTGTACCTGACAAATTTGGCGAGTTTAGATATGCGGTAGAATATTTAGAAGATGAAGATTAATGCAACCAAAAATTAGAAATCATGAATAAAGGATACAACAGTTTTATCAAATCACAAACATGACCATAGCTTTGGGTAAGTAAACATAATGCAACAGTGGCAACGGGATTGTGGCACCAGGTTTCGTACAAACAACAAAACAGTGAACGGCTCTCCTACAAAAAATATACATTTTCATAAATGGCACTATGAGAAAACATCTAGAATAGAATCCAGCTCCGAAATCATCATCAATTACTAATAACATATAAACGTCCAATCACCCAATTATCAAACAGGTTTTTATACTCAACCGATAAAAATACTAATAGAATTTATTCATCAATCAAGGATTATACAAGGTATCACGCATACACACGTGTATAGAACTTATCAGACTAGTCAAAAAAAAAGTAATCTACAAATAAATCAACATAGTGTAAAATATACATACACTAGTCAGTTTCACAATAGTAAGGTATCAGGAAATATAAAATTCTTCAACTTTATAAAATACTTTCTCAAGAAAATTTCTCAATTTATTTTTGAATAGAATATCATACAGATTCACATCAATTATATCTCTAATCTATTGAAACATTTGATCCCAATATGCTTTGGTGAATTTTCACTGACAACTTTGCATAGGGTTTCTATAATCCTAATATTATACATATGAGTGTCCCCATTTTGGTTTCTTTTAATATACATAATCATCCCAAGAATATACAAACATCAAAGGGTTAAAAATTGGAGATTCTTGAATAAAGGCTTACATATTGTAGTTGGATGAGCATGACGCATTGTTCTTATTATCCTCTTTTGAGATACAGATGCCCGTTCAAAGTAACAAGAGTCAAAAAGACCACGCCATATACAGAGTAGACCGAACCATCCCAAAACATAATAATTTCAAGTTGTCTGCTGATACAGTATCTCGAAACAGTTTTTATTATATATCATGTAATGCTTATGTTTGAACATACCGTGTTTAAGTATGCTTCCCATGTTAACTTACCTAACCTAACCTAAATAAAATGGCATAAAATTGCAAACTGACCGGAAGGGGGGGGGGATACATAAAGTTCCAAGTTAAAACCTATTTGGAATCGCATTCCTTGGACAAAAGTTAAAATGACGTCAAATTCATACATTTTTCTCATAAAATCACCTTCCATAATTGTTAGAAATTATATCAACCACAGAAAAAAGTTGGGAAATAATGTGCAGCATCTCTTTCATAATTTGAATCAGTCTTAAGAATTCATTTCTGAACAGAAATTTATTATTCACTTTTCGTAACCTATCCAAATAAAAATGCGATATAATGTTCCAGGAAAAATAGGGGTGAGAACTGATTTCAAATCATTAAAACTGAAAGACATTTTTTATCGAGAACCCAGTTTCTATTGACTTATGTCTGAGTATAGCTGAGTATAGATTTTTTTTTCAATCGATTATTGAATTTGTAGGCAAAATTTATGAATACGACTAATTAAACTCTTCGGTGGTTTATGTACGCAGTAATTATTCGGAGGTGTAGTTTTTGAAAGTAATTTTTCGGGGTGAACTTTTCAGTTTACACTTTATTACACTTCAACAGGTTCTATATTAATTTTTCAGATTGTGGAAGGTAATAAACCTGAAAAACAGTAAATATAATATATAAAGCGATCCCTTAATATTTTGAGCAAGTTACTAAAATTCGACTAAAATCAAAACAATTTGTTCAGATTTCAAAATATAAATAATCATTGTAAAAATTATAATTATCAGGGTTCTCAAATAAAAAAACGATTCTCATTTTAATACATTTTATTTCTAATAGTCCAAAAATTCAAGTTGCCCTCGCTGCAAATAACTGACATTCAAGTACATTTATTGTTGTGTATGTTTGTGTGTTTCAATAATGCGTGCTTTCTCGATTATAGTTTTTTTCACAGTTATCTGACACAATACTGATAACGCTAAGAAATCGCAGTTGAATAACAAGATAATTCTGAATGTTGGTTGATATAATCAATGTTTCAAAATATAAAAGTAATATACTTCTATCAAAAGTCACCATGTACGCAAAAAGTGCATAGCTTTTAAAATGAAGGATATGAGAAGAATGTCATATTCAGGCAAATATAAACTGACCCAAATTGCAGATAATAATAGAGATTATTGAGAAAGATCCGATGTACACTGTAGTTCTCTTCTTGGACATATCTATGTAGATATGTCCAAGATGTAAACAGTACTGTATGCATTTGCAGACATTTAGACTTCCATGGCCACCTTTTGAAATTGCTTATTGTTAGAAGTGTTCAAGCCGTCTTCTATTATAATTTCTTACGTTTCGCTGGCGCGAGTGGCTGGTATTTTCAGAGGTCTATATTATTGCTTAGAGAGGTACACTGGCCCGTTTATGGATGCAGGCTATATTGCATTTTGTAAATAATTGGTGATTTGTAAAATTATGTATGGTAATTTCTGCATTCTCTGGTTTTAATTTGCAAGCTGGAGTTCCCTGGTATCATCGCTTTGACGAACTTACCTTGTGTATAACAAAAAAATCAATATCGGGATCATCATTGAAGGTACATCTTTATTTGAATCAATTTTTGAATGATTTTCTTTTCATAATTGATATACAGCGTGACTCACGGTCGATGGTAGGTTAGACGTTTCTGGAAAACGCAAAGCATGATTTTTCTGAAAATTTCACCTCTCACATTTCCTTACCTGTTGTATCGATCTAAAATATTTTCAGCATTTTAAGGAAATGTGAGAGGTGAAATTTTCAGAAAAATCATGCTTTGCGTTTTCCAGAAACGTCTAACCTACCATCGACCGTGAGTCACGCTGTATTCAGTGAAATTGAATAAACATTTTGGGGTTTCCCACATACTGATCACACTCCTACTTCTTTGGCACTTCTTTGTTTCTGGAAATTGAGTGAAGTTGAAATATTACGACTTACCTCTCGTGCGATATCTAGGACACATTAGACTTTCTGAATCGAATTTATTACTCTATAGATTGAATAAGTTGAAAAAAAAACACCATAATTTAAGTTTTGTATCGAGCTTTTTTGGGTATTTTCACCGTTAACAATCTGAAAAATATAAAAATTGTAATGGAGAACTTCATTAATACGCTGTAACTTATCGTTCCGCTCTTGTTCGGAATATGTTTGAAGCATTAACTTGCTCAGTTGAAATGTATTAGTCTTCTAGGCTGAAGTATCTGAATCTTGCAATGTAGAAGGAATAATAATCTAAGGCATCATCAAAATGAGCGGATCAGGATACACCTGAGGCACTGATGAACTCAAAAGTAATATCATCACTGGTCTGTAAATGCCGTGAGGAAATAACAGAACTGGTAAACAGGAATACGTTAACAATACTGGCTAAAAAGACAGGAAGCAAAAATGTTGAAATGGATGTCGTTATAAACGTAATAAATCCATGTTTTAATAATAATAAATAGCTTTTATTACCCAACAGTTAAAAACCATTTATAGGGTGAACTAGGTATGTTCAAAAAGTAATATAGATCTGAATTGAAGGGGTTATATTTTTAGGAGTGATTAATTTTTTGGGAAAGAAAGATCCTTGTAATTACAAAATTACAATTTGAGAAAATGAATAAAAAAATTATAACATAATTAAATAAAATGAAGAAAACTACCACAAAATTAAAAATTCTCCATGAAATACTGAGATGCAGTGTCAACAATATATTCTAGGGAATCAAAATTGATATCACACAAATTTGAAATTAAATTGAAATTATTGCAAATGCTAAAGATAGGTGACTTGAGGTACAAATTGGTTCTGGCCAGTCTGCTGTAAAGATTATTTGTACTAGTTCTAAAATGAGGCACACATAAATTTTAAGAGCATCGTTGCTGTGCAGTAAAATATTCCAGTAAGTTTTCTGCGTGACTCAAGACTTTCAATATTGAATGTTATGGTAAGAGATTCATATGGAATACCTCTATCAGGATAGATACCATATGATTTGAAGTAAATAAACTTTAGGAAACGACGTTTTCAATTTCAATTGATGTATTATAGCAATTGTAGAATGGAGACCACCGAACAGAGCCATATTTTAATTTCGACCTTACGTAGGATACATAAAGAGTAAATAGAGCAGATATGTTTGAAAAAGATCTACAATTGGGAACTATACAGCCATAAACTCTCAATGCTTCACCTACTTTCGATCTAATGTGGTTGGAAAAAGATAAATTTTGATCAAAATATACACCAATATCTTTAATCGAGTTACTTCGTGACAGTGGAATGATATCTACTCGATAATTGAATTCGATGTTTGTTAACTTCACACCAAGTCTGTAAACTTTCTAACTGTCATTGCAATGTATAACAGTCTTCGATAGTTTCGACAGGTAAATATATTTTTAAATTATCGGCAAAAAATCACACCCTGGAGGAATTCTATTGCAAAGACACGAAGAGAACAAACTGTGATTACACACTTGAGAATAGGTCATACCAACTTAACTAACATATTCATGCTCTCAGGAGAACAACAACTAATATGCCAACAATGTAGGGAGAGGCTAACAGTGAAACATATCTTGCTAAATTGTGTCCAATATGATGAAGCTAGACAACGATTTAAAATACCAAATTCTATGAAGGAATGTTTGAAAGATCATAATGAAAGTCTGGATAGAATTATAAAATTTATGAAAGCTATTGGGCTATACTCAAAAATTTGAACAAGAAAGCAAATGATAAACAAACTAATAGTAGAAGGCCAATGATCTCTTGTCAACCACAAAAAAAAATAATAAGAACAGAAGTGAAGTACTCCAGATGAAGGATTGTAATGTAAGATACAAACTGTTCTCATTGAAGTAAGTAGGATTTAATGAAAAGTACTGCTGAATTATGGAAACCAAATTGGTGGAGTTTTTGTAGAAGGATCATGTGATCAAGTTGATCAAATGCTTTAGCAAAATCAGTATATATTACATTAACTTGACAACTTCCACAGACTTGGAAAAAATGGAAGTCAGATGGCTCCCAAGCAGCAAAAAAAGGGCTAGTTCCTCTACTGTAGATATGAAATCGTAATTTTTTAATGAAATATCATCTCTTTGGAACGCGTTATCAAAATCGAACAAATATGGACCATTTATGGCCAGTATCATCTGCCTGGAGCAGTAAATGCCTGCGGTTTAACCAAATGGTTTTTCTTCATGATAGCAGAAAGGCTGTCCAGCTATGAACATGAATGCTTTGTACATTTATTGTGTTACCTCTCACAATTAGTTTTCATTTCTCTTAAAGGGAAATATATCAACTTTACTTTCTTTATCGAATAATAATTTCAATTGAGGATTTTCAATATTATAATTCACTTGATTTGTCACAAAATAAATGAATTCGACTATACTATCTTCACAAAGTCTGATCTGTTTGGATCTTCTACAATAGCTAGTCTTAACTATTTCATTAGCCTGTTTGAAGAACCTATATTTACAACTCAAAAACAATAGATTAGTGTAATTGTATTTTTGAATAACATCCTCATTGTTTATTTCTTCCCAATTTTTTGATATTATTTCCTTTTCTTAACTAACATCGTCCAAATATTTTGGACGTAGTAGTTTTAGTATTTTTTATAATTCTAAGATTTCAATGATTCTTCTGTTCACTTCTCATACTATTATCACTTTTTTTAGACAATTGAAGGCTGAAGAATTATTGTCAGTCCACAAGATTGAAATAAATATTGTATATAGGTTGTACATTTTCTTAATTACTCTGTTTTAGAGTTTCAACTTCGTTTTTGTTACAAACCTAGCTTATTCAGATGAAATGTATGTGGAAATGAAAAAAATGTATCTCTCTGTTAATTATGAACCACACTGTGAAAAAATAAAATATTTTTTTGGGTTTACAGCTTCAACTGACAACAACGACTTGAGTAACTGTAATTTTCAGTTCATATTGGCCAGAAACCGACTTTTTTCGGCGATTTCGACATCATCATCAGGAGGTGACTAGAAAGATCTAGTCCTAGAGATTATCATAGCTGCTTTGGCGTGATCATTCACTGGTAATGATGATCTAAGTGGGATACCGACACCCCATTTTATGATCTTTGAGAGGTTCTAGGTAACTTTAATTTGATCCCAGCTTTATACATGGCGGCATGAAGCTTCTCTGAAGTTTTGAAGAAGAATCAGGGTCAGTACAAGAACTGAATCATTAAGAATGCTGAGTTCTAGGTGCAATACACAATCGAATGCTTAGGATACAAGCTAGAAGAACTGCAGCTTTTTTATTGTGTGGATGTGTATTGTATGAGTGTAATATAAATTTCTTACCACACAGGATGAGAAGGTCTGTGAAGATAGGTGATCACTTAATTGATATCAACGAGGATCTGCTGCTAGATAAATAGATGCAAGATTTTCATCTTTGAGGAATTTTTCAAATTCGTCAAGGTATTACCCAGGAAACTACTTATTTTCTGGTTGGCAATTGGCATATTCTAATTCGAAGATATGTAGGGAGAAGTAAATATATTGTATTTCAATTCGAAATTTTTATTTTCTTAACGTCTGTATCTCTCCACGACACAGTCATCAGACTGACTTGATACATGGGTTGATTCTCATTAGGTTGGGGCTTTCACTGAGGAGATGTATCTGTTGATACTTCATTGTAATTGAAATAGTTCCCGTCTCAGATGGAGGTTTCATATATGCAGTGAAGTGATGATAAAATCAGTCAAGAACCAGAAAGTACTAGTGTCTTGATTAGATCTGTCCAGCACTAACGAGGAGTAATATTCCGAAATCATTAATCAGTTGAATAATTTCAGTGATGTCCTGTAGCTGGACGAACAAAAATAATTTTCCTTTGTGAGGAAAGTTGCGCAAATGTTATTTGGCAGATGCTACTGTTTAGGCTTCTGCAAATCCAGTATAATGTCATTTTGTGAACCAGCACATGGTAGACCATAAAAGGACAAATAAGGTTCTACCTGCTTATCTTTCTAAATATGATAACAAAATGTTACAATAATCCAAAATATCCTCTGAAAAACAACGATCTGATTACAAAAATTACGAACCCTTGTGAAGTCCTAAATTAAAATTTAATGTTTCATACAGTTCTGTGAATTATCTACTTTAATATTTTTGAGAAAGCTGTATGACCCCAATATGCAACCATTGGTACATAGCAATAAATGACAATTTTTACTGGAACCAAAATTAGAAACCAACCAATGTACAGGGTGAGTCAAGATCCCCTCGGTCCATTGCTGTCGGGCAAAACAATTTCTCGAATTGCTTAAATTTTTTTGGCAGTCATATCCATATATACTATCTTTTATAATTATTTTCTCGCATACGGGGTAATTTAAATGGAACACCCAGTATATGAACACGTCATTCGATTCTATATTTTTTTAGCTCTCTAAGGAATTTTCGTTTCCGAATTTCCATTGCGGCATTGCCAAGTTATTTCAGAAAAACCTATATTGCTGACAATATTTTTTTAATTCACCACCCGCATATCTACAGCAATTGAGTGGATTATTTTAGGAATAGTTAGTCAACATCACTATGACCATTTCTGGAATCTCAACTTTCTGAAACAATATACAGCGTGCTCGGTAAAATCGGTCAAGTTTCATTCATTTTCAGACATAATTGAACTTTTTCAAATGGAACACCCTGTATTTTTTCATTTGAATGAAATGTTTCAACATTTCATTACATTTTTTATCAGAGGTATACTATACGAAAAACTGATATTTTACAAATTATACAAAGTTTTATTAATTGTAACCAGAAAAAAATCATTTATTTACGTTCAGTTACTCAAAATTTTTTCAATATGAACAATAACGCCTAATTTTTCAATCAAATAGAAGAGTCCAAAAGATGTTCAAAATGGCGACCATTTTCTGCAACACATAATGTCAGTCTGTTTTTAAATGAATTCTTTACACATTCCAGCATATCCTCTGGGATTTCCCTGAAAGCTCTAGTGATTCTTCGTTTCATGTCTTCTATAGATGTTGGAGGAGTTTGGTAGACAATCCATTTGATATACCACCATAAAAAAAATCCATTTTGGTCAGATCAGGTGATCTAGGTGGCCACGCTACAAGCCCGCTCCTACCTACTATTCATTTTTTATTGAAATGATCATTGAGGTATCCCGTACCTCAGTTTTAAAATGTGGTGGTGCACCGTCTTGTTGTAGGCACATTTTAAGTCTTGTTCCATATGGAACCCCGAAAACTCATGCCGAAGAAATCTTACATATTTTCTTCCAGTGAGATGCCCATCCAGAAAAAATGGATTGATAACTATTTTTCCGCATTTTTTTACGCATTTCTTACCGTTGAAATCGCTGATAACTATCACTAGATGATATGAAAAATGTACGAGCGATCGATTTGAATATTCGAAAAAAAAATTGAGTAAGTGAACGTAAAATTTTTTTTTTGTGGTTACAACAATTACTAAAACTTGGTATAATTTGTAAAATATCAGTTTTTCGTATACGATACCTATGATAAAAAATGTAGTGAAATATTGAAACATTTCATACAAATGAAAATACAGGGTATTCCTTTTGAAAAAGTTGAATTATGTCTGTTTGAAAATGAATGAAACTTGACCGGTTTTACAGAGCACCCTATATATTGTTTCAGAAAGTTGAGATTCCAGAAATTATCATAGTGATGTTGATTAACTATTCCTTAAAAAAAAACCCTTAATTGCTGTAGACATGCGGGTGGTGAATTAAAAAAATATTGTCTGCAAAATAGGTTTGTTTAGAATAACTTGGCAATGCCCTTAGAGAGCTAAAATATATAGAATCGAATGAAGTATTCATATACTGGGAGTTCTATTTGAAAAATATATAACTTTGGTTAGCCACGCTCGGCTGAATCACCCAGTATGCGAGAAAATAATTTTTAAAGATAGTATTTATCGATATGACTGCAAAAAAAATTGAGCAGTTCAAAAAATTGTTTCCTCTGATAGCAATGGACCGAGGGAATCTTGTTGACTCACCCTGTATTCCAAAATGAAAAACACTCACCTCCGTTTTTAAATCTTTCAATCTATTTCTCATATCATATAGTTCTGATGATGTCAACAGAATCATATTAAGGTGTTCTACCATGAGACTTCCAAACTTGAAATTAGTTTCTTTCACAAGAATTTGAGCAAGAGTTTTATAAATATCTTCAGCATTAAGTAAAACACAGAGTTGCCTGAAACATAAATGTATTTTTTCCAAAGAATGTGTAACACAATAGTGACAACTGACCTTATTATGAAAGATCCTCGTTCATCTAATAGTCTTTTGTCAATACTGAATGATAGGAGCAAACTTACCATGAATTTGTAATAATATGTATTGTCACCTAGAAGTAAAAAAAAAGAAAGTTAAAGGATAGAGAAAAGATCATTATTATTTAATCTTGTCAGGAAGATACAATGTCTTAGTGTAATGAAAAGTTAGACAGAATGAACTTTTCAATTCTTGAATAACTAAAACAAGAAGTCATAAATAAAAACAATAACCAGTCTTCTGAAATTGATTTTGTTTCAAAATGAGGCATTGTTTTTTGAATACATTTTTCAATTAAAATACTTTTAGGAGTTTTCTTTATGCCATCAGTGCTTAAAACAGGCATTCATGTTTTTCAAACGTTACTTACCGTTGGCACTAGAATTTGTCGTTTTGGGTGAAGAAATAACTTCTGCAATGACAACAAGACACTGTTGGACAACTTGATCAGATTCATCTGATAAAGTTTTTTGGAGGGCAGGGAAAAGTATATCTATATACTCAACCATCTAAAAATTGATCAGGTAATTAGATACTGATTTATTCTTTCTAAAAAAGGGCTCTCACTTTATTCGGAAGTTTGGTGTATAAATCGTATATCCATTTCAAAACAGCTACCTTTGTTTGTATAGAACTGTGCATTAAATACTGAGTAAGAACGTCCATCACAGAAGACAAATTCAGTTCATTTTGAATCTGGTCTTCGTTTACTGAAAATAATGATATAATTTATAAATGAATGTTCTAGATAGTATTTGTAATTTCAAGCTATGTACATACCTATAGATGGCCTAATATGGACTTCTTTACTAATGTCCTCTTGTAGTGAAATTAGCTTCATCAATGTAAAGTTGACAGCTGTGGCAGTTTCTTTTATGTCTGTCACTGTATTAAGGAAAAAAAATAAGAGTCAGGCAAATCAAAAAAGAAAAAGAAACAAAAAGAGTACAAATAAAGTGACAATCAAATGAAAATCTTTCCAGCTTTTTTCCAGTTATAAAGAATGTTATTATTTCAACACGCAGTATAATGCAAGTGATTACCTCATAATGAAAACATTAAGGAAAAATTATGTTTAGTACAGACTGCAAACAAAAATAAATACACTATCTATGTACAGTAGAAATTCATTATCTCTAAAATAATAAACAAAAGAGACATTGCCCCAAAAAAATATCAAAATAATTAATACTCAATGTGTACTCACTTGATAACAACTTTCTACATATATAATAATACAAATTTTTCATTTTCACACGTTCAAATATTATACGTGTTTGTTATATTGGGTCAACTTCAAGAGTAAACTGAATTTTACTACAGTGGTGATTCTTATCAGTAAACATATATTTATCATATATACGAGTATGTCCTTATTGCAAAATAACAGTATTAGTGAAATCAAGGTTACAAATTATATATTTGTTTAGCTGAAATAAAGATGATTTTTTTTCAAATCCAAAATGAAATAATCAACCGGGGTTTTAGAATACTACAGGTATTGATCCACATTTACATTGCAGCCTCAAATTTCATTACATTTGTTTAAAAAAACAAAATTTTGCCTTTTGTGAATTCTGGCATTCCATTGTGATATTTGATTGGAAAATAATTTGACTGTCATATATTTCGGAAGGAATATTAGTATGGTAAAAAATCAAACAAATTTAGGTAGTGAAATGCAATACTCATTTGATATATTTTCGATGCAATCATTTCAAATTTCATATATGTCTCATTTCAATTTGCTGGTACACGTATATTTCTTATATTGACTTATGTTGGAGAAAAGAAAAATCAAATGAAAGTAAAACATTCTGAGAACATTCAAACTTGACAAACCACTTTTAAGTGAGTATATGGGAACTTTCTTTTATGGAAGGTACCTGCTCCACAGGGATTGTGCTAGCTAGTATTAAATTTTCACTTGATATGCCTGAGGGGATCTCCTCTAATTCATTAGGCATCAATAGTAGTTTTCCACTGGGATCATTTCTTCTTCAATTTGAAATTATGACTCATCCATATATGTATACGTATGAATGTCTGTATATACTCTATGATATATAAAAAATCACTAGTTGTATTATTGTTTCCCTTATAACCCCACACAAGAATATATCCTTTTTTTGTGGGTTAACTGTTATATTTATAGTTCAAGTAAACGATATAGTGCAACCTACCTTCCAACAGCTCCCCTTTAATAATATAGTTAGGGAGCTAACT